ATTATCCCGTCGGGTTCGACGTATGAGGGTCAAGCAGATCAGTTTCCAGGAAACTGACAGCCCGACACCGGCACATGAGATTCGATTATAGTGGTTAAGGTTTCGTGCAAGACCATCCACACTTTTTGAAGGGCCGAATACAGAAACCTGTTGCACTACGTGCCACAAGGTCCCCAAACAACCCCACTCAGGTTTTGAATTCAGAGTTCTCCTTCTCCTAGACCAGTTGCCATCCAAGGCTATAGAACCCTGTCTGTCCTGCTATTTTACCCATGGAGGGAGAAGAAGAGGATTCACACCTTTTCCAAGGGTATTAGCACGTAAGTGAATGTAATGGATATATATATATATATATATATATATATAAGAATTGGTCAAAAATTAATACCTGTTTTGATTGAACTTAGTGCTAGTCAAAATTCGTTTCTTTTTCGTTTTAAATCATAAATTGTCCAGACGCACGATGGAAAAATTTTGTGGCGTTACCTTCTCTTTTCTTACCCATAATCTTTCAAAATGGCTACGTTCTTATGTGGACACCTGCAGAAAGTCAAGAGCTGTCAAAGAATGTTTGTTTTAGAAAGAGAAAATGCTACAAAAATTCACAGGTGGAAAAGAAAGAAAGAAAGAAAGAAAGAAAAGAAAAGAAAAATGGTAAGAAAGAAAGAAATAAAGAAAGATAGGAAGAAAGAGAGAATGTTAAGAAAGAAGGAAGAAAGAAAAAAGAATGTTAGGACAGAAGAAAGAGACATGAGAAGGAAGGAGGGAATTAAAAAAAATATGGCCGAAATAGAAATTATGAAAACAGGCGCAAACAAACAAAAAAAAAGTAATTAAATTTTTTGTCAAAGATGTAAATAATTAAATTATAACAATTATAAAAAATTACAAATAAATGCAAAAAATGTCTAGTTTAAATTACAAAAAATACATAAAAATAAATAATTGAAAACAACAAAATTAAAAAAAGAATGGTTTAAATTTTAAAATAACAATAAATTATAAAAATCTAATTACAAAAAACCTTTAAGGAAAGGATTTGTGTGAAATTAAGCCAAAAAAAAAAAAAAAAAAAAGGTAACGTCATTTTCCGGTGGAGATGTATCCGTGTTGTGTTGCTCGAGATCTATCCTCGCATTTTTTTTTACTGATCCAGTGAATATATTTCATTTTGTAGCGACGCTTACAGTGCTAGCCTAACTTTCGCCTACTGGCGCCCTTTCCTCGACGTATTCACTGTTCCGGTGGCTAAGCACAGAGTGACGGAAGGGTAGAAATCCGAACTACAAAAACTGATTAGTGTAGAAAATTCTCAATGCGTGACCAACAAAAGACAAGCAACGAGACAGATAAAAAAAAAAAAAGAGAAATGAAATTTGTACACATACTAAATCGAATTTTTTTCTCTCTCTCTCGTGTTGATACTTCGATCATAAATCAACCAAGAGAATTGAACAGTTGCTGTTGAGCGTTTTTGATCTTTAACGATTACGTCGCCAATAAATTTAAGATACCCAACCTGCTCAGAAGCAATAACTTCATTTTTTTCCGTTAATTTATTTTCTTTTCGTATAACAACATTAATAATTATAAGACGAAGACGATATGAAACTGTTGTAACCTAGAAAAGGTTACTGAATGAGGAATAACCAAAACGGAGGTTGGAAATAAAATGGTAATCTTTATAACATCAACAAAATACAATACTCGCCAGTGGTGTGAAGTAGATAAACCACTGCTAGTGGTGAACTACTTAGACAGCATTTTACCCCCCTCCCCACTTACAATAGTGTCCAACATATTTATGAAGATTGGGATATACCCATTACTGTTCATAGGTACACGGTATATAACAGAAACGATTTGTGGGTTCTATTGACAATATAAGATATTCCAAACGGACCTCAAGCAGATTTACTGGTAAACTGGAAAAACTGTTATATTTCAAAAACTTTTGGGAAAATATATCATAAGGAATATAATCTCAATGCAGAGTGAATAAAGCCCGATCAGGAAAGAATGAAGGATAAACTTTTACAAGAATTCAAAAATATAATCAAGAATAATAATCCCCAAAATGGAAAAAAACAGGAAATGACAAGGTACCCAGGTTTTGGCGCAATCATCTGTCATCAACCCATAAAACGCTTGCGCAAAGTTTAGCAATGTTAATTAATAACCCTAAAGAAATTCCAGAATGGTTCACTGAAGGTGTCACATATTTCCTACCAAAAACGGATGAAACAGATGATCCCAAAAAATATAGGCCAATAATACTGTCCACCACATATAAATTGATCACGTCCATCCTGACGAACTGTACACACTCTTTTCTCTAGTAAAAACAACCTTCTTCACATGAAACACAAAGGATGTCGAAGAGGTTCATATGGCTTCAAAGATCAATAACTAATAAATAAAATGGTCCTGGAAAATTGCAGGAAAAAGGTAAGAATCTCATCACAGCTTGGATATATTACCGTATAGCTTTTAATAGTGTGCCACACTCTTGTGTCCTTAAGGTTTTGGTAATCTACAACGTCACCTCGGGTATAATTTCCTTAAATATAGCATGAAACTCTGTAAAAACCATATTATACTTAAACCACACCAAAGATATTGGCACTTCCAATTGTTTGAATATCGGACGAGAAATTTTTCAAGGAGATTACCTGTCGCACATTCTCTTCTGTCTTTAATCAATCTTTTGCATGAACTAAACAATAATAACTTGAGTAAAAAAGAATGTGTTTAATCACCTATTCTATATGAATGATATCAAACTCTTTGCTAAAGATGACATTGAGTTGAAGAGTATCCTCAATTCTCTTAAACTGTTTCAGTGATGATATCGGTATGGATTTCGGACTAGATAAATGTGCAAAAGTAACATACAGAAAAGGGAGAATTACGGAAACACACTCAATAGATCTAGATTTTGTCACAATGATTAGGGAACTGGAACAAGAAGCCTATAAATACCTAAGAGTCAATACATGAGACAGAATACATCATACCCAAATGAAGGAGAAAGTACGAAAAGAATACTACAGACGTATGCGTCTGGTGTTACATACCGAGTTGAATTCACAAAACTGAATGTCAGCCATAAACACTTTGGCTGTTCCTGTGGTGCTATGCAGTTTCAGCATCCTTAATTGGACCATAACTGACATTAAGCGAATGGGTGTAAAAATGAGAAAGCTTCTCACTTGCCACCGGATGCATCGTGCTACAGCTAATGTTGATCGGCTGTATGTATCCGAATCCGAAGGAGGTAGAGGAATAGTTCAACTAGAACTGTCTTACAAACCCACAACAATTGGTCGTCAAAGATAACTGGAAACTACAGAACACTGGGTGATGATCTGTGTCAAAGAACATCAGTACTAAAAGAAGCTAACAAATTCAAAAGATAATTTCACGTCGGTGAAGAAGTAAACCATAATACAATAAGTACAGCGTCAAAGAACCTAAAAAAAGGAAGCAAATGCAATATACAAAATGCAGAAACAATGACAAGATAAGCCTTTTATGGTCAATACTCTGTCCGTACCAAGCAAGCTGATGTAGACAAACCACGTAACCATCAGTGGTTACGTAGTGCAGAGTTAAAAGCTGATACCGAGGGTTTTATTCTTGCTGCAGATGGCCAATGCTTGCTAACTAGAAATTACCAAGTACACATAATGAAAAAATGTTTTGAACCCAAATGCAGTTTCTCTGATAAATATCCAGAAACAATTGACCATCTTGTATCAGGTTACACACTGTTACCAACCACTGGATATAAAACTCGGCATGATACAGTGGGCCAATATCTGCACTGGAAAATATGCAATTTTTACAGGAAGGAAACTGCAAGAAACTGGTATGAACTTTAACCAAACCCGCTTACAGAGATAAGATCTTTAATAATGTTATGGGACTTTACAAAACGGAAAGACAGAACAATCAAAACTAATCACCAAGACATCGTGATCAAAAACCACAAAAACAGAATGTGCTTTCTTATTGACATGGCTGTGCCTGCAGTTGGCATGTATCATTGAAGATCACCAAAAAACTATTAAAGTACAAGGATCTTGAAGTGAATTCTCAAAAAATTCAGTACATAATGACATCAATAAATATAGTTGTAGCTGAGTCCCCGGGCTGATTGAAAAAGGGTCCGATAGACTCATACAAGATATTTCTGGTTGACCATGCCTTACAGAAATACAAAAAAATTGTACTTACAAGTACACCTCACAAATTACGAACAGTTTTATCCATGTAAAATGTGTATGATCTTAGGTCTTTTTATTTTACAAAAATGATCAGTAGAATATGTCATGAATATGTCATGAAGCCATTTCTGACCTTCGGTCTCTGGTTGGGACCCAAAAGGAAATGAGTATACAACAGAAATCAAAGGAAATAATAATAGTAATAATAATAATAATAATAATAACAATAATAATAATAATAATAAAAACATTATGACGGAAGTAATAAAAATACAAAATTAGATGAAAGAAAATTGGACAAAATAAGAAAATGAAAGAAAAAGAAAAGTATTTACTAAAATTGATAATGGAATTTAAGAAACAATAAAAACTATTTTGAATTTAAGTGGCCTAAATGAGGAAATCTCTTTTACAGAAATCCTAATAGCGATAAAACCTAGAAAAACAAAAGCTAACCCAACAAATAAACATAAATCACCATTATGGGATGGTTGATTTGTATTTTTTACGGTTTATCAATCCTTTGGAGGTTATTTAAAAACAGAAAATATTTTTAGATTGTAAGAATTTTTTGGAAGATAATAATGATTTACTGATACAACTTCTTGTAATTAACCTATAGCGGAGCTGGTGAGGAGAGACGTGGATTCATGCCTTTCTCACGCGTATTTGAGCATAAATATAACGAAAACCGACTGAAATTAGATCCTTGCTCTCTGATTTCAAATTCTGTGTCATTATCTAGTACACCACCAGCATATCCAAGCTTAAAACACTTGGCATTCCCAAGCGGTCACCCATTTAGGTACTGACCAGGCACGACGTTGTTTAACTTCGGTGATCGTACGGGAACCGGTGTTTCAACTTGATACGGCCGTAAACCCTGAGAATGGCTGAAACATTGCTGAGAAGAAAGGACAATAAGAAGAAAACGATTCAGGAAGATAGAAAATGACGAGTCACGTTGCATTTAAGTTTTTGAAGATCATAATTAAGAGAAAAGCAAAAAACTGGACGAGTGCTGAAGAAACCGTTAGAACAGAACTTACGGTGACAGTCCGTAAATTTCAACAGAACCCCCCAAAAAAAAAAAAAACAATGAGATCTTGCTGGCAATCGAGTTCTACGCTTAAATTCATGAAGTCGAGATACCACGGAACTGGGTGTAAAATATGAAGAAATAAAAATAATTATAAGAGTAAAACTTTTGTTTTATTCTAATAGTTTCTTTTCTTGTACTTCTCGCCTGTGGAACTCCCTTCCAATTTCTTGCTTCCCTGACATTTAAAATCTTCAAAACTTTAAATGCAACGCCAAACGCCATCTTCTGCCTTCCTGGGCCCTGTCCTTTTGTTGTCCCTTCCTATCACTAAAGACTTCTCACTATATTTCAACCCAACTAACTGCGTCTTAGTAACATTATCGCCTTGATTGATTAAAAAAAATATGGATAAGAACACAGAACTGAAAAATAAAGAAATAAACGAACAGAAATGGAACAATATAAACTTTAAAGAAATACAATCTCTCTCGAAAATTAAGTAAAAAGTCTAAAAAAAAAGTCTAAAAAAAGTCTCTAAACAATTGAGTAAAAAAAGTCAGAAATCCCCAGGAATCGATAGTTTGTGGTTAAACGTTTTTTATGTAAAAACATTAGCAAATCTGTTTTTATGAATTTTATCAGTAAGCTATATCAAAACCCAGAATAGGTATCTGAAGACATTATTTATTTAATCCCCAAAACTGATGACATTGCCAATTCTAAAAATTACCCACCAGTAATGTTTATCCATAACATATATATATATATATATATAAAACTCACATAGGATTTTAAGCGGAAAATATTTATCAATTCATTGAGACTAACAAATAATTTCATCCCTGAAGAAAAAAAAATATTGCGAAAAGTTTTCTTACAGCTTCAAAGACAGGTTTTTGATCAAAAAAGTTTTTGCTGTAAAAACTTCTGTTCAATAAAATATCAACCTAAGTAATTTATTTTTTAATGCCATATCTCTTTTGAATGTAGGCGATTGTGATTCTCCACATATTACTCTTCTTTATTAACTGTAAGTTACCATTCATATTTCTGGAAGATAGTGAAGCAGTTTCCTGTTGCCATCTCCTCTGTTTTTAATTCAGTCGTTTGGAGAGCCTAGTCTACCTTGCTATTTAACCTATAGTTGGAGGGAGAGTTAAATAGATTCATGCCTTTCCTAAGGGATTTGTGCGAATGTCAACACAACGAAGTAGACCGGTATTTGAACTCGGTTTTCGGTAACAGGCATGCACAGGAGTGTGAATTCTGTGTGGAATTTAGAGTTTTCCTTCTTTCCGATTGGTTTTCACCCAGGGTTAGCGAGCGATGTTTCGACTGCTACTTAAACCATAGCTGGAAATAGAAGAGACGGATCCACGAATATTGGTGTGAAATAAGAGCGCAAAAGATTCGTCCGGAATTTGAACGCGGCCCTGTATGTAGGCAATAAGACAAGCTCTGGTAGTGCTCTACAGCATTGGATCGTAAAGTCACCAAAATTCAATGGTAAAATTAAATGTGACAAAGTTTTCACGTATCAGTATAAGAAATAACTTAATCCTCAACTAAAGCGTAGACTTGAACGTGATACCTTTAATAGTAAAATTAAACGTGATTGCTTTAATGGTAAAATTAAATGTGGTACTTCAATTTTTCCATTAATTATCAGAAAAGTTCTTAAAGTCAAAGTAAATTTCAAGGTGATAACTACAATAGAAATACTTGTGGTAGTAGAAACTTTGTAATCGCAAATAAACTATAATACGCCGTTGAACAATACTGGTGTCCGACGCCTTCGAATAATCACGCACTAATAGTACTTGCTCGATAATACTCGCTCGAATAGTAATCCGTATAGTGATCCGAATATAGAAAGAGTATAGCGAATAGAGTAGAGAATAGCGGTCCGTATAATAATAGAGGATAGAGTAGAAATAGCTATTCGTATAACAACATAGGATAGACTTGAAGTAACGATCGGAATAGTAATAGAGGATAGATTAGAAATGCAGATCGTTAGACGTCAGCTACTTCCTACATAAATGCGGTCCCTCTAAGGTCACGTGGTCTACATAATTCATTAATGGGATCGCCTGTGTTTATTCACTGGCGATCTATGTTCAAATGACACTTTATTCCTATATAAGAGTTATACAACATAAATTTAATGGTAAAATTAATATTACATTTAATGGTAAAATTAAATGTGATTACTTTAATGGCAAAATGAAACCACGAAATATTAAGTGTAATATTATACAAATGACTTTAATTTTATCATTAAAGTTAACAAGTATCAGAAATACCTTAATCCTCAACAAAATGGTAAAACTGAACGTGACAGCGTATATATGAAGAGTGGACATATTTCAAGGAGACATATTTTTATCCCAAATATACTGTATTGCATTAATACGTATTTTAAATGAACTTAAATATTATTGATATCTTTTTTTTTTAATTAATCTTATTAATATCCCCTTAATCATTTTTTAATGGATACAAGTATTCAAATACTTGTAGGCGATCGGGCTATTTACTAAACATTATATTTATTTATTTTCGTTTGCCGGCCTAGCTCCCTCTGCCTTGGAGGATGCAGGTTCAAATCCTGCCGGGGTGTGTAAATTTTTCTTTAATAGGATTTCTCGAAAATTTAGGCCGGTAGACGAAAATAGATAAATATACTGTTTAATAAACAAACGGAGCGTCTATCCAAATATGAGTATCCACTAAAAATAACATTTAACGTGATAAAATTTTGTGTTCGTGATCACAGTTGATATTATAGAGTGTTGGTTTTTTCTCAGTAATAAGCTCCACGGTCACAATGTGCCGACTATGTTTGGAAAATAAAACATTCCTATAACTCAAGATAGATACATAAAACCATAAAATCATCCTTGATGATGGCTAAAAGAATAGTCGAAAGCACTCAGACATAGAACAAATTCGGACAATTTCAACATAATTTATGTCCAGAAAAGAAGACAGTGGAAAGAACATGAGAAAAATCAAATAATGAACTTAAGCGCAGTCAGTCGGTTTTAATGAAACTTATATATATATATATATATATATATATATATATATATATATATATATATTTTATAAGCTGTTATATAAGAACATGCAAGTTACTACTATTTATTACGCTAAGATCAAAAACTTTAAAAACTCTATGGATTAATTTTCTAAGTTTATCAACTTTACTTCCAGCAGATTTATTTGCAACCTTGAGTTCATCCTCCCTATAGAGTCCTATATTATTTAAATCAATATCATCATACGCAGTGAGGTTGTACAATAAGAACAGTCCAACTAAATCAGAAGACTCTGCAGAATCCAAAGTTCCCATTGTTATGTCGAAATTGTTCGTTATCGTGGATTAAGACTGATCTTTTACAGTTAATATAATGCTAATTTCATCCTTCGAAATATCTGAATAAAGTTTAGAGAATTCCAATGCTAAATGGAACAAAGGTCATTAGGGATAGAGGGTCTTTAGAGATAGATGGTCTTTAGAGATAACGGGATATATATATATATATATATATATATATATATATATATATATACGTGAACCTTTTATAGTGAATTAAGAAAGGAAAATGTTCATAGCTTATGGTTAAATGACTGTTTGAATTGTTCAAATCTCCACCTACCGCTTATATGAATATATAAAACTGAGTTACAAACATAATCTCAAGTACGAACTCCAATCGAAGATAATTATTAGACAATTACAAGAGATTTGTTGGTCGATGTTTATTATAATATTCAATGCTTCTGGAATTATTTAACTCTCAAGTAATAATTATAGCTACTATTTGACAATATATATATATATATATATATTCGAGCACATGTCTGAATGATTATATCTTCTTTGATGCATATTTAATACACAGTGTTTATCTACGGTAACCTATTAAACAACCGGAAGTAGTCAACTCTAACTTCCGGTGTTTTATTCTCCGTCTCTTTTGTGTCAGGATAGTTGCTAACAATAAATAATCGTTCGTTTCGACGCCGAACTGCCCTTCGCAGGCGTCATTGTCCTCTCTAAAACCACACTATCCGAGCGTAAATAACCGGAAGTGCCAATGACGTAAACGTCACGCATGCTTGCTGGCGTTTGAAATACGTCGATGTGAATTAATCTTATTTGAAGTGTAAAGTTCATATTGGTTCGCTTCTTGCGAGTCATATATCTTTTAGACGCGCTGGAGAGATGCGTCTGAGTAGGCAGAAATAAGTCAACAGTTTATTAGTGAATAATACTTCTTTAGTAAACTAGGTGCAGAAAAACTCCCGCCGCAGCATCACTGTCTTCAGGAAAGTCTTGGTTCTTTTTTGGCCTTATTGGTTTTGCATTATTCCAAGCATGTCGGCTTTTATGGGTACAATTCTAGCCCTTAAATTATTTGGCTTACAGGAAAAGTCCTGTTATATTTTTTAAAAATGTTCGTTTTTATTTTTTTCACGCTGGTGTTCACTAACACATACACATTTAGAATGTATCACGTCCTTTTCTTTTTGTATCTTTGTTGTTCTTAATAGCCTCTTTTTCTTGTTTTTTTTTTTCTCTTTTTTTTGTTCTTAAATAGTTCCATCAGATCGAGGCTTTCATATGGACGCTATGCATGACGACAAATCCATTCAGAAATATATAAATTGTCAGTTGTATGAGACTACTTTCTCAATACAGGACTCGAGTTATTAGGTTAATGTACACGAAGAACGTAAAGAAGTTGAAATTAAAGAAAAATATTTATTTCCGAAATATAAACTTTTCTGCTTAAATTTGTGAAAAAAAAAAACAATACTTCGATTTT